CACACGCACACACCACACATTTTACAAGAATGTAGGAGGACCCGCTTGATTCACTTTTCAAACTTGAAAAATGAGGCATATTAACAAAGCACACTAAATGAATCAGCTGTTTAGGATGATCTACAAGCCAGTTCATTTTCCTGTTATTAAATAACAAACCATGAATCTTGACAAATGAACCCCACTAGTTTGACATTATTTGAAAAACTCATAACATGCTTGCTTCTGTTGGGCACTTCCCCTTTGAAATTAAATTTTGAGATTGGCTTTATTTAAATTCTGGTAGAGGGAAAGAGCTTGTTAACCTTCATTTTGACTGCATGTTGTTTAGCATCATCATTCTTTTCTCCCCGCCTTATACTTGGCTCACCAGAGCTTCTGCCCGAGTCTCGCTGTCCAGGGCTCACTGCAAGGAAGCCGGTTGTGTTTGTTGGCGCCTCTGTCTTTAAGAGGTGAAGTTCCTGGTGTTGTGGGGACTGGGTGGCTTCTGGAGTCAGACTCCCTCAGTTCAGATTGGGGCTCCAGCCTTGTGACTTTGCAAAAATCATTTGCCCTGTTTGTGCCTCTGTTTTCTCATTTATAAAATGAGCTTAATATTATTTGCCTCATTAGGCTGTTATAAAGACAACATATAAAATGATTAGCAAGACCCTGCCGGGTAGCTCAGTTGGTCAGAGCGTCTTCCCTAGAGGCCAAGGTGGTGGGTTCATTCCCCCATCAGGGCACATATATGAATCAACCACTGAATTGCGTACATAGGTGGAGCAACAAATCCATGTTTCTCTCTCTCTTCCTCTCCCTTCCTATCTCTCTAGAATCAATAAAAAATGCTTAGCAAGCACACATTAAATGTTACCCATGATGATTAGAATCTTTATCTTAAGAATAACATCTTCAAAAATGGATGCCAAGTCATTTTACTTAATTTACTAAGGATGACACAGGTACGAATCCGCTGATTTAGCAGCCCCAACATGTGACTAAGAAGGCTCCAGCCCCCATCCCATAATCCCTAACAGCCCCTCCCAGCAATGCCACCATGAATAAACATCTGAGAAAAGCATGCACGCTTGCCAAGCATATGCGGCTTCTGCTTCCTGAGAAGTCTTCTATCTCCCCCTTCAATCCCAGTGCCATCCCCAGCCCTTTTTTTGAAAATCTGCCATTTCTACTAGCTTTAACCAAGGACACTGCAAATTCATAGCAAGCCCTTGCCTTGTAGCAGCTCAGTGTTACAGTGTTCAGCAACCCCAGACCTTAAGTGCTCACCACCCCTCAATAGGATTTACAAAGTGTGACTTTGGGCAATATCACAAAGTCAGTTTCATCTGAAGGAAAATATTCTTTACTACCATTTTAAAATTTCTTCCTCAGGGCGTTAAAAAGCTAATCAATGATAAAATTCCAAGTTCATTTAAAGATGAAGAATTGAGAATCAGTCACATTTAACCACTTTTAATCAGGAAAGTAGCTGCTGTGACCCATTAACCCCTAAAGATTATTGATGCTCCCTTTTATTTAAGATGCTATAGGTTAGTCGTTTGTCTTTGGCAGCCGGAGCATACAAAACCTCTTTTGCTTTTCACAAATTAATTCATTTCAGCCTGTGCATTTGTCAGACATTCCCGGAACCTTCAGCCAATGTTTTGTTGATTAAAAGATGTGTATTTTGAACATGGATGGAGAGGAAGGAATTTATAATTCTCAAAACCAGAGCGTGATTTATAATGCAGGCCGCTACCTGAATCATTCAGTGCATCATCAACACATGAATGAAATATTAAGAATTAGCAGGAGTGTCAGCCCCGGGTCTTAAAATCTATGGATCAATTGGTTCAGTTACACTGAGCAAGTCTACCCCTTTCAGCAGAATTTCTAGAACTCACAAACAAGATGATGACAGAGAAAAACACCTTTGTATAGTTTCTTCAAAGGGCTTTTGAAATACATCCTTTTCCCACAACAATCTGGTGCTTCCACTCCTATTTATAAATTACGTACCTTGTTTTCATGCACACAAATTCCTGCTACTCATTCCAGATTTGATTTGCTTTGGACTGGTTGTTTAATCTCCCCTCCCCACAGTGAATACATTGGGCCCTTTGCAGGGCACAGTTATTGTTTTAGGCACCATGCAATTTACTAAATGGTGCCCCAGTTGTGTAAAATGCTCCCAAAGATCCCTGAGGGAAAACAAAAGAATTAAGTCAACACATATTGATCACCCTATAGTTGGTGCTTTCTTCTATCAATCAAGGGCTCAGTCTGAACTGGTCCATCTGATCTGAGATACATAGAGCTGGAGACATTTTTCTGGCTCTCTGGTGGTTTAAAAGGCTAGGCAGTTGGAACAACTGCTTTTAAACAAAGCCTCATTTTAAAAGAAGCCTGAGTACAGAATGGAATTCAAAGAATTTAGAGGGAGGGGAGGGGAAAGTGGCAAAAAAACACACACAAAAAAAACCAAACCCTGGGAAATTTAAGAGAAGAAAGCACATGGGAAGTAAAAGATAAATTCCATCTGCCCTGTTGCGGTACACAGAGACCAGGATGCTACTTCAGCCAGGATGTATTGAACACCTACTAAGTGCAGGGCTTGTAAAGAGGTAGAGTTAAGTATTATGGATGTCCGAGAAGCGAAACACAATTCTTAGCTCAAGAAGGAATAGTTTTTCATGCAAACCAAGAATCTTTATGCAGATATTAGATTCCAAAAGGCAATCAATATATGCCATTTTATTCAACTATTGGGGACAGAAAATATTCTCTGGTGTAATTCATTTTAAAATTTGACATTAAAAGTGTTGTTTACAAACTCACACTAAAGAAATGGTTGAGAAAAATGTTTATTTCAAAGAAGCGAGTTGGGGCCTCTGGGGTTTGCTCCTGTCATTCCAGCCCTGTCACCTCCCCATTTCTTAAACAAACTGCCTAATACTCCCTTGACCACTTTGTGCTTGCATTTGACGTTGGATTATCCTGTTTTATTCTTCCCCCAGTTAATAACAGGAAAGTCTGAGGTAAGGGAGCTTGAAGTCCTTTACATAGGAGATGGTTCAGACCCTGGCTGGCCTAGGGAAAAAGTAGGAATTCAGAGGAAAGGATGATTCTAGAAACCTCTCAGAGACTTTGGTAGCTGACGGTATTGTGAGATTTAGGATTAGGGAACGGATGAAGTTAACATCAAAGTCCTAGCATGGAGGCTGGAAGAATGACGGCGACATGGAAAAAATGGGGTAATTGTGATGGGTGGCTGGTATGGAGAGATGGGAGATAAGAGTAGATATTAGGAGTTGCATTTTGACAAACTGCCTCTAAGAGGCATGTCTTATAGTCATTGGAAATATGCACTGGGGCAAATAGGAAATCCTGCAAATGTGTGTTAAACAGATTGTAACAGCAGGAAACAAGGCTGGATACTGCTAAAATGTGCCCTCTTATAGGGATTAAAGGCTGTGTTTATTCCATTTTTATTGTACATCATGTAGCCTAAGTATTTATTAAGCACCTACTTGCTATTTGATAAGTACATACCTCCCACCCCTGATAAAATAGCTAATGTGTCTTCAGGTTAAAACTCAGCCAGAAATGTCCCTACTGGTATCTGATGAATGTGTTTATTGTGCCTGTAGGTGACATTCTGAGTTATGGTTGAGGATATCTGGGATAGTTATATAGACTAAGATCACTGGCAATACAGAGATGAATGACAAATATTACCATTATACATTTTTTTTTATCGTTAACATTTATTGTATACTTACTAATTTCCAGGAACCATTTTGGTTGCATTAGCTCACTGAGTTTTGGTAAAAACCCTATGACACGGGGAAGTACTATTTCTATCCTCCTCACATGAATGAGAATGTTGAGTCTCAGGGAGGTTAAGGCACGATGCAAAGGTCACAGAGTCCATAGAGATGCAGCAGGGACTTCAACCCAGGCAGTCAGTGCAACTTTAGAATTTCTGATGATATGCCTGTATGAAAAAGCAATAAAGTATAATGAGTAATATTTCTACTTATTTTGGCATATATAATGAAAAAGACCCTCACATTGTATATCCTTAGTTGCTGGAGGTCATTTATCATTTCCATTTTTCTCAGAAAGAGTCTGACAGGTTAAAGGAGTTATCTACTCGGGGGAGATTTTACTCCCAAGGGACATTCATGAGTGTGTAAAGACATTTTTGGTTGCCATAACTGGAGGATGGGTGCTGCTAAAATCTGGTGGGTAGAGGCCAAGGATGCTGCTACCACCCTATAATGAACAGGACAGCCCCCCCCAAAAAAGAAGTGTCCTGTTCACATTGTCAATAGTGCTTAGGCTGAGACCCTGGGTTAGAGTGAAATAAAGGGGACCTTGACTGAAGGGAGAGAATGGTGGCTGAGTCTTGCTAACAAAGTTTTTCCCCATGAAGAAGCAGGTTTGGGAGGGGAGAAGAGATCAGATAGATTCATTCATTTGCTTGTTTACTCATAGAATCACCATCCACAGAGTGATTTCTTTGTATCAGGAATTGTGCTGGAGAGTAATGCGGAGGAAACAATCTTCGGGAGTTGCTTTGGAGAAAAGGAAGGAACAGAGAGTTAGAGGCAAACCAAAGATGCTTGGCTATTGAACATGCGCTGGGCAGAGCTTTGGTGTCAAGAGTGAGTTGCGTTCTTTTGTCAGAGAAGGAGATAACATGCTACCTTAGAGGTCTCTAAGGAAAGTCACAGTGGACAGACTCCGAAGCCATAGGCTGCTGTCAGAAGCCCCTGGGAACTTCGTTATGTCCCATTTATAGCAAGCTCACGCTGATCCAAATGCAGGGCCAGAGAGGGGAGAGGGCATCTTTTGTTCTCAGAAGTCCACAGAGTCGTGATGTATATAAGTATGTGTGTGCATGTGTGGATCGGAGAGGCCGAGACGCTTGCATTGCTTTCGAGGTGCTCTGCTGGCCTGGGAATAGGTGCTGGCTTTGTTTTTCCAGTAACAGCCTTTTCTGTTTCCAGCAGTCCTATGCACCAGCTCCCCACCCCATGGCTCCTCCCAGCCCCAGCACAAACAGCAGCAGCAACAACAGCAGCAGCAACAGCAGCGGGGAACAGTTGAGTAAAACCAACCTGTACATTCGAGGCCTCCCACCAGGCACCACTGACCAGGACCTAATCAAGCTGTGCCAACCGTAAGTGCCCTTCTGCTCTGCGCCGTTTCTAACCCACGTGCTCGCCCACGTGGGCTCCGACCACGCCGGCCTTGGCTCTTGTACCCCATCCTCCCATTCACTGGTGTCTCAGTGAGGAAGATGCTGTTGTCTGAAGGGATTTAAATGTGAGATCTAAGTCCAGCTTACTGTAGGGAATGAATTTGTTTATGGTATGAAGAGGGGATTCTTGAGCAGATATACATGGGAGTGCTGGCCGGGTGTGCATGTATTGACTAGGAAGATAATGGGCAAGCATTGAGTTGGGCCCTGAAACCTTGTGGTTGGTGGAGTCAGTGATGAATCTCATGAAAAAAAAAAAGGCTCCCTCCCCCCGCCACGCCCAGAAGTATTAGTGGGAAAATCTCAAAAACTCAGAAGAAGTGATAGATTTCAGCGTGGTTATCTCCTGTGTTGCAAACTTCCTGGCCAGTGCTTGTAAATCTCAATTCAGTGGGAATCAGGTAATTGGAGAATTGTAAGGCAAATGCTCTAGTTTCATTAAAGACATCTATTTCCAAGTCCAGTGAATCTACTTTCCACCAAGGCCAAGAACTACACTCGCCAAGTAGCTTCGTATTTTCTAGGAAATGTGGTAATGATTAAACGCCCTTCCAAAATATTTTCGTTATTCCATTATCTACCAACACATATTATCAACTCTCTTATTTCTCTGACAATCAATCAAACTATTTAAATTTACCTTCCAAATCACATTAATGATGGGTAATGAATTAAGAATCATAGATCAGTACTTGTAGATTATTGTCTGGTGATTTTCAAAGTCCTATCAGTCCCCTGTTTTGTGATTTGATTGTGCCTTAGCTGGGCATTTTTAAATTAGGGGAAACTATTACTCAATTGTTCTTTTTCTCTTTTGCAATCCTTTTACAAGAAGGTTGAGAGGATATTTATTTTGTAAATTTTCCAACCTCTAAAATATTGGAAGAGGAAAACAAAGCAGGCAGTATTTATTTGCCTTTGTTCTGTTTTTTTGTTTTGTTTTGTTTTGTTTTTAGATCGAGAACAAATAGCAAAACAACAGGAAGTGGCAGATAAACCAAAACACAAATAATGTTACTATATAACCAGTTGACTAGGCAGTATGTGGATTAGGGAGGGGGCACTTTGGAAAAAAATTTACTTAGAAGCAATTTTAAAAAGAGAATGAAATGTGCCAGGGCTAAGACATATGAATATGTTAGGTTTTGGTCTATAAAATGGTGAGGTTGAGAATTGGAGGGTAAATCACTCACTTTTCTTTTGTTCTTGCTGTTAGAAAGATCTAAGCCATTTTGAAAAGTAAGAGCTTTGAAAATGTGAAAGATTGCAGCTTCAGATGAAGTATCTCCTCAATGGAATGTGATGTGAAAAAGAAGGGTAGCTATTAACTGTTTTGTATATGAGTCTCATTCATAAAAAGAAGAATTATTGGATAATACAGAAAGATTGTTTCCCATACAAGTCAGAGCACTCGTTGAACCATAGATTTCTGGGGCCCACGAAATTATGATTCACTAGGTTTGGGGCCCAAGCATATGCATTTCTCATGGGTTCCCTGGTGTTGTTGAGATTGCTGTTTTTTTGGGGGGGATATACTTCTCTCTGTAATAATATGAAGACCACTGACTATTTCTAATGCATCAAGTTTCACTTAATATATGCCGGTCATTGAGTTGGACTTCTGTGCATTACAACCTACACAGCCTCTCTATGATCTTGAGGCAGATCATGGACCCTCTTTGAGCCTCAATTTCCTCTTAGAAGAGTAGGTTACCCTGTAGGATCAGTGGTGTGCGAGGGCTGCCTATGATTACTGCACTAGAGCCACTTGTTAAATGTTCTGGAATTCTGTGAGTGATTTGTTTCAGACTCAGTATCTTGAAGTTGGCCATGGTGGGAGTATTTGTATTACAGGAATAAGGGAGCCTTACAAATCAGGCATTTAACATTTTTTATCTCTTTTTATTTTTTGGAGAGCTGGTTTATGAATATACCACTGATAGAGCATTATACTATGACATTTTGTGTCAGTATCCATTTCTGCAAAAAAAAAAAATGTTGCCAGAAATGAATAAATGAAAAGTGTTCCCTAAATGCCTGTATTGGCATTTTTAATTTAGCAACGAGATTTAGTGACACAGAAACATTATTTTTGAGAAAAGAAGTTTTGTTTATATTTCTTATGTGCATTTGAGAAATGTAAAGAATGCTAAGTGCACAGAGGGTAATGGTTACATGTTCATATTAATTTTTGCTAGCTAATAAGATGTGGCTCATTCTAATGTTACTGTAAAAATGTTTATGGGTTTTCCAGCTACTGAAGTGGTCTAGACCTGGGGTTTATTGCTTAGATTCATTTACCTCGAGAATATTACAGAACTAATATGATCAGGCAATAGAATGTAATAGAAATAGCTGTGCACTAAGAGGTCTGGGTTTCAGTCCTGGCTGTGCCATCAACTGAGTAGTGGCCTGAGATAAATGATTTCTCCCCTCTTCACTTTAGTTTCCCCTATGGAGAAAACAATGTGTTTGAACTCGATAATCTTTTAAACTTTTTTTTTTCATCCTAAAATTCTCTTATTTTATTGAGGCCTTCATTAATTAGCAATAAAACCTGCTCTGGGCCACCTTTTATATCTTTCACCCAGTCCCCCTTTGCAGAATGGCTGGACCACAGACTAAATTGATATAGCTGCATGAATCTGACCTGATGGCTGGAGAAGTCTTTGCTATAAGACGAATGCAGGTCATGTGTCAAGTCCTGTGTCCTCACTTGTAGTGTTGGTTTCTCCTATTGCTCATTACTGTTTTACATGAGCAGTCTTCTAAAGATGCAAGTCATTTTGCATTGAGATTACTCATCCAGAATTTTAAAATAATTTCATCTATAAAAAAGAAAATATTTATTGGTTTAAATGAACTTGTTATCAGGATCAACTTTCCATATTTATTCCTATGAAATTGTATGTATTTTAGAGTTAATGGTATCTTATAAAATAGAAAATGCAGTATTTGCTAGTATCCATAGTAATGAAATGATGGAAAATAGAGATATACAAAAATGGCATAGATATATTGAATTATCTGTATTTGAATGCAATATTCATGTTAATACTAATGAACAGCAAGGAAATTATATTAAAGAAAAGCAGTTGCATTATTTCACAATGAATATTCTGAGAGCAAATTCTGTTAAAGTATCCCATTCACATTCATCATCAAATCTCCTATGTTTGGATTGCAAGACTAAAAACTAATAGACATGAAGAATGACTTCACTCCATGGAAAATCTCTAGTTACAACTATGTTTTGGATGAATACATTGCATTGTGTGTCTTGTTGTAAATACCTTATAATGTCTTCATCTTGAGAATTCTCAAGGAATTTTATTGTGTTCTCAATCAAGCAGTATTTACAGAGTACCTCTGATGCATGCCAAACAGTGGGCTGAAGATTCAGTGGTGAGTACATTTAGAGAAGGGCCTTGCTATAGCAGAGCTTATGTTTTCCTCAACAAAATAGGACGTCAGTTAAATAGTTATATGATTTTATATGAAATTGCAACTATACATGCAACATGGGAGCGTGGAACTAAGAGTCTTTGCAACATGGGATGGTACCTAGTTAGGGCAATGAGCAAAGGCATCTCTGAGGAAGTGACAGTTGAGCTAAGATCAGAAGGAGGAATAGGTTTAACTAAGTGAGGAAGGACGGGAAGAACATTCCTGGTGGAAGGAACTTCATGTGTGTAGGACTATTGGCTGGAGGCTGCATGGCAAACATAAAGGGTTGAAAACAAGGCCAATGTGGTTATAGCAGAGAGAAGGAGTTGGAGTAAGGAGCAGTATGAACTAGAAACATGGAGAGGAATTAGGTGATGATCCATTTGTATATCAGGTTAGGAGCTTTGTTTTACCCTAAGAGCAATGCAGAAGATCACTAAATGATCACAAACAGGAAGGTAACATAGAATTTGTTTCAAAAAGGTAACACCAGCTGCATAGTGGAGAGAAAGGATCCCATGTGATCAGGGAACAATCAGAGTAGGAATAGGTGAAAAGTGATCTGGTAGAAGAATAAGTTATGGTTAGAGAAACAGGCATGAGAATTAATAATTGTGGTGTTGGAACAACTATGTGTGGTGAAAGATGTCTTTTTTCATACGCATTTATTTTCCTATTAAAAAGTAAGGACTTAAGAGACAACCAAATGAACTCCAAAAAGAAACAATGAAGTAGCACCAAATAGGACCCAAATCACTGATTTTTAGTCTCTTTTTCTTACCTAGTCATGAGTGGATCATCAATATAATATTAAATATTGAGTGGCTACAATATTAAAAGCACTAAAGACAAATACAGTGGACCTTGAACAACATCGAGTTAGGGACACTGACTCCCACCATGAAGTCGAATATCACATATAACTTTAGACTTCCCCAAAACTTACCTACTAATAGCCTACTGTTGACCAGAAGCCTTACCATAACATAGTCAATTAACACATATTTTGTATGTTATATGTATTATATTCTTTATTCTTACCATAAAGTAAGCTAGGAGAAATGTTATTAATATGTTAAGAAAATCATAAGGAAGAGCAAATACACTTATAGTACTTTACTGTATTTATCGATACTGTAAATTTATATCAACTGTTCACAAGATAAAGTATCTGTCAGTATCTGTATCAATATTGTCATTATAATGCAAAACACTGTAAATGTTATACGTATAACTAACAATAGACATCAAAAACGAAAAGGTATTGTGAAAAAGAAATTCATGTTTACTTACAGGTTTAATGATCCTTGCATTGATAACCAAGAAGCAGCAATATGATTGCTTTTTGATAGTCTAGTGTAACTGATATGATTGCTTCAGTAGTAGTAAGAAAATCTCCAAACATTTTCCCAGTATGTTTATTGAAAAACTTCCATGTATAAGTGGACCTGTGCAGTTCAAACCCATGTTGT